TCCCTGATGTTTATATTTGTATCGAGCTGTAATTAAAACCTGTTTAGTTGTAAGGGGCGCAGCTTCCCCAGACCTCACATGCGAGATTGCCATGTGAGATTCCAGCTTCAACCAGTCCATGATTCTAGGAGTTGAGGATGTTTGTGTGATCCGTAGCAACCCTGTGCCTCTCTCCAACATCAGATGGGATGGTTTGGGACCGTTTCTGTTGTGGTTTCTGGGAACATAAATACGGCTGAAATGATCAGACCGACAGCCCTGTCTGACCCTGTGCTGTCCTGAGGTGGCCGGTGGCAGATGCCAAGGGAAGGGTGCGAGAAGCGTGTAATGCTGCTTTGGTAGATGCCACCTTTCCCGGCAATCTGTGCTTTGAGGAAACGTGGAAGCGACGCCGGGTCTCTGCCCAGCCCCGGGCTTCCCCCAGCAACCCCTGCGCCCCTTCTCCGGGGAGCAGCTGGTCTCCGCTGACCAGCTAAAGCCAGCCCTGCACTAACGAACAGGAGTTTTCTGGGCTCGGGTGGTGGGTGTAGGTTGCTCTACGGCTGTTCGCTGTGGCTGGGGGGGGTTTTTTTTTTGGTTAATCCAATGGCGACATCCCAAAAGGTGGTGGCCGTTCAGCTGGTGCTGGGAGTGCTCTTGGTGCCGGTGCTGTGCAGCATGGGCACGTGAGAGGGATGAGGAGGGAGACTTGCTGGTTTTCTGCGGGGTTAGAATTGTCTCTGAGCACCTGGGCAGGTGCTGGCAGCGACCCTGGCCAACAGCTCCCCGTGACCCTCTTCTCCTTCACATCTCTGGAAACGTGCTCTGGCAGCGCCTGCTCAATGATATCCTGGGGACCAAGGTGAGGCAGACCGGCGCCTCGGTCCCTGGGTGGTCTTTCTTAACAACAGATGCAACATCTGCCTTTCTCCACTCATCAGGGACCACCCCCACACTCCCCCTCACCTTCTGGAGACAACCAAGAGGAGCCCCACAAGGACCTTGGCACCCTTGGGTGCTGCCCCTCGGGCCCCGTGGGCTCACACGGGTCGTGTTTCTCAGGAGACGCCCAACTCGATTATCCGCCGTTTCTGGTCATTCTCCTCCGGCAGCCCCGTGTCCAGGCTGAGCGATTCACCCCAACCCACTGCGTCCTGCGCTGGAGCCTCACCATGAGGTCTCCTGGTGCATCTGTGCCTCTCCCTGAGTACCAGAACGGGCCATTCCTGCAATCGGAAGATGCTGTCCTCAAAAACCTGCTGCTTTTCCTCGTCTCCTTTGTCCTTCAGAGCTGTCTCCAGCAGGATCCCCCTTACCGGTGCCCTGAATTAGCTGCAGTTGCTCTTCTGGGACCCGGGGCTTGTGCTCTGCTGCTCCCCTCGGGATCGGCCTCTCCACTGTTTCACAGTCACTGCAGACAAAGCTGCCGTTCGTTATCGTGTCCCTGGCTAACGAGTTCCTCCTTGTCTTGATCCACCCTTGGGTGCCCATCCAGCATCCAAACCCCTTTATTGGGAAGTTATTCCCCAACACCTTCCAGAAATCTGGCAACTCCAGGACTTTCTGGGAATAGAAGCAGCATTTAATGGATATTTCTGTCGAGACTTTTTTTTTTTTCCTTATTGCTGTTGAGCACAGGTGAATTTCCAGCACCCCTCACGGTGCGGCGGAGACACACAGAGTGACGAGGAGCTGCGTGCAGGAGTTTGTCACACCAGCCGTTAGTGTTTTTCCCCACACTGGAGGACTCCTCCCTCCCGCCTTTGCTTGACTTCCCACTTATCTGGGTGGACTGTTCTGGAGGTGGAGTCGGTGATCCCTGAAATGGAATCGGCTCGCCAGAGCCCTGTCCCAGGGGACTCCTCCAAGCAGATCCCTGAAAAGGCAAGAAGTCCTGGGCTGTGATCCTGCTTTTTGCCTTGTTCCTGTCTCTCAGGCTGCTGAGCTCTCCTGTGGCACAGTCGCTGCGCAGGGGGTGGGTTCCTCGGCAGATCGGTGTGCGTTCCCGGCTCCCACCCAGGGAAGGTGGGCAAGTCTGGGCCCACTGGCATTGCCAGCCAGTGGGTTGGTTTGTCCGTAGCTGCCCTGGCAGCCCAGCCGTCCTGCTGGGTGGGCGCTTGGGACATGGCACTTTGTAAGTGGGTCATTGTTGTCGCTAACAGGCAAGGTCGACGTCACTGCTGTGTCATGGCTCCCAGGCACCGATCTTTTGCCGTCTCGGTTTAACAAGGCTCAGCCCCCCGTCCCTGCCTGGCCCCTCT